TGATAAAGAATTCTTTTTGCTACTCGAATGCTGCTTCAAATTCTCTTTTCAATCGATAATTTATATAATATTATGATTTTATTTACTTAATAGCTGAACAAAAAAAAAAAAAAATTGATGAATCTAATCAGATACATTTTCATACAAGTGCACATATCAAATACATTTTTTGTTAAAGGAAAAAATAAATGTCTTTTGTTTTTTTTGTTTTGTTTTTAACAGTTAAAGATATATATACAAACATGACCATAGAGAGAGAGAGAGAAGAAATGATTTATTTCCCAGTATTTATTTTAACTGTTGTAGCATTTTGAAATAAAGAAAAACTAAACAAAATAAAAATTTTTTATCAAAAAAACAAAAAAAATCGAAAAAAAAAACTTACGAATCAAAATCAAGTTTTTGTTTTGATATTCCACTTAAAATAAATTCTTCACTAACAATAGGTATATCTTTTTTAAATAAATCTTCATATTGATTTTTATGTATTTGTGCAACAATACAAATAATATCTTTTCCTGGTTTATTTATATTTAATTTTTCAATTAATTTACCACCAGCAGCTTCAATTATATCTTTTAAATCATCATATGGTGGTGATGTATCTTTTGTACAAAAAAATTTATAATTTTTAAATATAAGACCTTGTTTAGCTAAACGAACACTTTCACGTAATTGAAAACCATAACGTGTTTCAGCATTTTTATCTTCTAAATAATATTTATCATATGGTATATAATGATTTTCTTTTATCATTGTTTCAATCCATTGTGGTGATAATATATGTGCACCACGTGCAAGACACATAAAAAATTTTTTTGTACGTCTTATACGATCAACAACAAGAGCATCAACTTGACATGATTCATCCATTATTTCAAAACCTAATTTACGTAATGTATCAATATAATTTTGATCAAAATTCTAAAGAAAATTTTTATTTAAATCAAGTATATATTGATTTTTTTGTTTTTACCAAATGACTGCTTAGAGCAATACGAACAGGTCGATCAGTAGTTGAATTTGTTTTTTCTGATAATTTTTCATTTGATATTGTTGATTTTCGACCACGTTTTGGTGTTGCATTAGTAGTAGTTGTTTGTTGTTGTTGTTCACCTGCTGTACGTCTATTAGATTTCGTAACTGTTGGAGAGACTTCAACAATAGCAGGTTGTTGACGACGAGTGCGCATTGTCGGTACTGTTTGTGGTGTTGCTGGACGACTAAAATAAACAATTTTATATTCATATGACAATTCGCGATTGAAACGTTGAACTATTCAAACGGATTAAGTCGATGTAACCAGAATTTTTAGATCAATGGACAAACTTTTATTGTGTCGAAAAAAAAACCGATAGGCTAAATGAGCAAGGTTTTTATTGGTAGGCCAACAAAGTACTGATAGGGTTATATACACAAGGCTCTCGATTGTTTTTGAGAGTAGGGGGGGCTACAGTTTCTTTTTCTTTTGCCACACAGTCACTTATTTTTTTAGGAACTTTCCGATTTTTCATTAAAAGTGATGGCGGGAGGGGTGGCGCGACGAAGATACCCCTACCCCCCCCCCCCCCCCCGGCCAAGGAAAATCTTCGGAAAAATTGTCTCAAAACAAAAATTTTTCACCGCTAATATTATCCCTGATCAGTTGACTGCATTCATAAAATTATATTTCGCAGACTATATTACACATTTTTGCCAGACAGTATTAGAAATTTTCGCAAACACACTGCAAAAATTAGGAGGGGGGGCTAGCTCACCCCAGCCCCTCCCCACATCGAGAGCGTTGTATATACATACGACGTCATTAGGTTTAGAACCACGTTCTTCAATATCATTCTATCGACTTCCTCCTAATAAAATAAAGATTTCTAGAAGCAACTTGTGAAATTTTTCAAAACAGATGACCGAGGTTAGTTTCGCGAAGACCTTCGTATCCCTCCTCAGGGTCCACCTAAATTTTGAAAATTTCCTATGCTGCTCGCGCTGCCCCTGAACGATAAAATTTCAATGCGCAATTGCTAATTTGCCCGCCTCCTTGATTACGCTGCTGTCTATATGGTTCATAAAACTGTGAATTGCCACAGGTCTAATCAGTGTCGAAAGAAATTCGTATCTTTTAAAGTTTATGTAACAAACAAAGATTTCGAAGATATGAGATTTTTTTTCCGGTTTTTTTGTATTCGATGACTAGCGCACCTTACACATCTTTTGGTCTAGGTAGAATCTATTAGATTCGAAATTTTCATATCCGAACTCGGAAGCAACTCGACGGACTATATAGAAAGAAGTTTCTATTCGAATTCAAAATTCTGAAAGATTTTACTTCAGACTAAAATCTTAAGAAAATAAAGATTTATTTAGTCGCAAAATATTTAATTGATAATTTATGAAAATAAATTCAAACCTTCGTTTAGTAACAACTGTTGTTACAGGTGTAGCACTTTTTCTTTTTCGACCAGAAGTTTTTGATAATATTTCTTTATTTTCAGTAATAGTATCAATTTGTTCATAAATATTTTTAGTAGTTTTTTGTTCTAAACTTTCCACTGTATCAATTGGTTGTTGTCGAAGACTAATTTGTTTTTGTGTTGTTGTTGAAGAACGTCCACGATTTGATTTACGATTAGTTGTTGTTGTTGTTGTTGTTGCCTGTGTTTTTGATTGTTTTTCAAGATCATCTAAATCAACATAATCATCTGTATAAGGATATTGACGATTTCTACCACTTGATGTACGTTCTTTAATTCGAGCTATTAAGAAAAAAACAATTTAAATGAAATTGATATGAAAAAGAAAAAAAAAAGACGTAATTTTATTTTTACCTGAAACTCGAATATTTGAAGGAGTATTTGTTTGATTAGATTGTTCAATTGAAGTAATAATTTCAGTCTTTTGTGGTGTTTTTGATTTTATTTCAGGTGTTATATTTATTTTTTTTGGTGATTCTTCTGTTTCAGTTAATGTTGTATTATTTATTTGATTATCAATAGTTGATGATGGTAATATTGGATGATGACGTCCACCATGTAAACGTGTACTAATAACACGAACTCGTGTTGTTGTTCCACCACGACGACTTCGAGCACGACGAACAGTTTTTCGTGCAACACCACGAGTAGTACTTATAGCTGATTCTTCTTCTTCAACATCAGCAATAGATAATGGAACTTCTTCAACTATACAATTAAATAAAACTTTTTTTTTCAGCAGTGTCACATATCCAAGATTTTGGAGATGCCACCACGTTTTCCGCGGGAGATGCCGCATCTCGCGCGAGAGATGCGGGTGTGGGTGTGGGGGATACGCATCTCTAAAGGAGATCTTACATCTCCAGTGGTGAATGACCATATCTCTCGAGTGTGGGTGTCGCGTCTCCCGCTGGAGACGCGGCATCTCCCACGGGAGATGTGGTGGCATCTCCAAAATCTTGGATATGTGACACTACTCTGATACTGTTAGAAACGAATTATTGCAAAGTCTTCTGAAACCTAAAAAATACAGTTTTGGGTTTTACCTTAAATCATCTATGAAATTTTGGTATAGAATGCGTCTTCATTGGCTATCCGAATCACTATTTAGATTTCAGTTAGATGCTTGTTATAATAGAACAAAATCAAAAATACATTTTCGTTTAAACTTTTCTCTTTAACTGTACATTTCATTCTTTAGTCAAACCTTTATAGTCTTCTTTCAATTTCTCGTGAATCAATCCTTTGATCGGATGATTATGACAATAAGAATCAGAGATGTCCATCGCTGCTGCCGCGATACGCTATTCAAAAGAATGCTTTGATGATTTAAGACTATGACTGGTCTAAACTAGAACTATTAATCGATCAGATTCGTAAAGTCTTATGCGGTATAGTGTACATGAAAGTCAAGATTTTGTGTAAATCCATGAATTTCTTTTTCTAAAAAAACTAATGAAATATGATTTTGCTTTTTGTTACGTTAGTTCAGTGTTTTATCCAGAGGGGCGCCCCTCCGAAAATCGAGTTCGCCCTCCCGAGACTTGTGATAATCGTGCTACGAATACATGACTTGCCCCCTCGGAAATTCAAATCGCCCATCCAGAGAAAAAAATCCTAGATAAAATACTGCGTTAGTTTCATTAGTCTCTTTGAGAATTTAATAATATAAAAAAAAACAAACTTACGAGTAGATTCATCAGTCTTTTTTTCAGGTTCCATAGGTGATGCTTCTGAAGATTTTTTTATATCTACAACTGGTTCTTCTTCTGCTTCCTAATATAATATAAAAATAAAAGTAAAAAAAATAAATTTATATTTAATGAAAAAATATTTAACCATAATAGTTGTTGGAATTTCTGTATTTATTTTTTCTGTTTCATCAATATTCATAACATCAGTATTTGTTGTTGATGCAATTTCATCTTCCATTTCATTATTATTATCTTGTTGTTTATCATCAATAACCATTGATGGAGATTCTAAAAAAAACAAAAAAAATTATTTTTTGTTTTTTGTATAAAAAGATTTGTTGTTTTTTTTGTACCTATTGTTTGATCTGTCTCCATTTGTTCATCAGATGGATTATCTTTAACAAATTCTTGTTTATTTATATCTTTAGATGATAAATCATCTGTTATATTATCAACATCATCAAGTTGTTCATTAGAATTTTCAATTTGTTTTAATGATTCAGATCCATCCATATCTGTTTGTTGAATATTTTCACTAGTTAATATATCAATTGGTGAAGTATCAATTATTGTTGATTGATTAGTTGGTGAAGATGTTTCATCCATTTCTGTCAGTTTTATTTGTTCATTTAAAACATTTTTTTGTATTTGTGGTGATGATATCATTTCAGGTTGTTCATCATTATTTAAATTTTTTGTTTCAATTATTATTGAATTTGTTGTTGAACCAATTATAAGATTATTATCATCATTTGATATTATTGATGATGATTCATTTATACCATTTTGTTTTGGTATTATATCAACTAAATATAATTAAATAAATTTGGTTTTTTTTTAATATTTTTACTCAAAAGTTTTGTCTAACTAATTGAAAGACTTCGAGTGATATGATGAAAAGTTAAAAATATCTCGGAGAGGAATGTTTTCTTTTTGAATACTTCTAATATTTGGACTTTTTTTTAGTCGAAAGACACAAAAAAATTTCATCTCAATCGAACATAGAATTCTAATCTCTTACAAAGGAATCTCACCAAACGATTAAGAGCTTTTGAAATGAGATACGACCTGGTAAGACTAAAAGGATAGGCCCAGTGTTTTATCCAGGATTTTTTCTCCGGAGGGGCGATTTGAATTTCCGAGGAGGTGAAAAATTATTTTCGGGAGGGCAAACCATGTATTCGTAGCACGATTATCACAAGTCTCGGGAGGGCGAACTCGATTTTGGGGGGAGGGGGCGCCGCCCCGCGGGCACCTCTCTGGATAGGCCTTTCCTCCGGAACTATGACCAATTTACTAAATTTTCAGCTTATGTCAAGATATTCAGAAAAAAAAATCAAATGACGAAATTTTGCCCATATATAGGTTCTATAGTCCTTAGTATGCGCTCCTTTTTAGTCTCACCAGTTCGTATCTATGATCAAAATATCACTTGGTGAAGTTCGTTCGTTAGAGTAATGAATTCTCAGATGAATATTTCAAAGTGTATTTAATAAATCATGTTTAATTTTGATTTGAATTCTATAGAAGTTTAGCTCGTAAGTGTATGTCAAGACGTAGTGCCTCGTTTTCTTTTTTCTTATCAAAAAAAAGCACTTCGCAAAATGATTATTTGAGAATTTTTCGAAGTATCCTATCTGTCATTCTTTTTTTCACCTAAGTAAAAAAAACAAAAACAAACGACTGTGTCAGATAGACATATGCTCTTGCAAATAAAAAATTGTCTTATCATCAAAGATCGAAGATTTCGATTCAAAATGAATCAGTTAATAAATTTGAATTTCAAATTTCGATTTCTTTATGTCTAGTACTGAAAAATTTTATGTGATTTGAATATATTTATTTTGTATTAAAAAAAAAAAACAGCAGACAAACATACCATTATCATCATTAGTATTATTATTATTCCAAACTTTAATTGATTCTTTAGTAATTGTTTGTGTTGGTACTAAAAATTATTTTCAATTAATAAATAATATATAAAGATTTATTCTTACAATTTAAATTAATTTTTATTTCATTTGAAATCTAAAATAAAACAAAAAAGATAAATAAATATTTAAATAAATAAAATTCATTACATTAGTTTGTTTCTGTTCTTGAAATAAACAAATAATATCACCAAATTTAATTTCATCATTATTATGTAATGCATAACAAACATTTGGTTGAAGTTGAATCTTTATTTTTGAAATGCAAAAGTTTAATAATATAAAATCAATAATTATTTTACTTTATTATGAAATGTTTTATTACTACTATCGAGATCAGTTATAAAATATTGTCCATTATTTATTGTTATTTTTGCATGTTGTTTTGAAAGTGACTAAAAAAAAAGAAATTTTTTTTTTAAATTTTATTCTATAGAATTTCTTATACCGGAGCAGTAATAATTATATCTGATGGATTTGAACGACCAATAATTGTTTCTTCTAGAAACAAAAAATAAATCTTAAAGAAATTTAAGAATTAGATAAATATTTACACATACTATTTATTTCATATGTATTTGAATCAGTACCATTAAGAATTTTTAAATAAGCTTTCTATAAATAATAGAAAATAAGTTTAAGAGTTTCAACAAAAAAAATAAACATACAGTATCATTTGTTGATGAATTTTCATTAAGACTTTCATCAGCTGTTAAGATTTGTGTACTATCAAGATCTGTCATTATTAAATATTTTAATCTAAAAAAATTTAATAGGCATTTATTAAAAGAAAAAGAACGAAGACATTGTATCAAGAGAAAGCAATAGAACGAACGAGAGAAAAAAAAACACGACACTCTCCATATGTCTTTATTAACATTAAGAAAAAAAAAAAATTTGGAAAATTATTAATTAAAATTTTTTTTTTTCTTTTTTAAAAAAAAAATTTTTTTTTTAGAAATTTCTTAATTTCTAATTAGTCAATTAAAGAATAAATGTACTTAAAGGTCACCTCTTTGTCTTCAATGATTATAGCGACATCTTTCATTTATCTATTTGAAAAATAAATAGATTTATTTCTTTTCTAAATTAATATAATTCAAGTCAATATCACGTTTGAAATAAATAATATTTTGTTAATATAATAATTCAAATACTCTAACATTGATAATTAGCACCATCTATCGATATGTCAAAAGTCATCCAGTCTCTTACACTTATAAGAATTCCTTAATACGTTAAATCGCTGGTCCATAGAGCTGAAACTTCTTTTTTTTATACATATTGGATACTGCTTGTTAAGGGGGTGGCCAGGTGGGTAGTGGCGTAACCAAGGTAGGGCCAGGGGGGCTCAGCCCTACTACCGGTGTTAGCATGGTCAGCTGAATCCTTTCAAAAGCCCTACCATCCCACAGACCTCAGTAACCTGAGCCCTACCACCGGATATTTAAGCGTTGCTGAGTCCTACCATCGCCAAAACTCTGGTTACGCCGCCACAGGTGGGGCTAAGCCCCACCGCCAAAGCTTTGAGTCCCACCACCGACTTAGAGCTCGACCAGCTGAGCTCCTCCACCGTTAAAATCCTGGTTTCACCACTACTTATTATTTTTTATTCGAACAGAAGAGAATCAAGCGAAAAAACACCAAATAATGTGCTCAGGTTACGAAAAAAAAGTATCTAGACTTTGAAGCGAATCCGCAATCTTAACACTTTTGTATATATCAAAGACATTTTTTATTCAATATTTCTGTAAGATGAAGTGCATAGTATTAGTAGAACAATGAGTTATGTATCACATCATCTTATCTTTTATTTCATTTACTTTTCATTAACATCGTACAACAATTCATAGCGGGTGCACTGTCTCGAGTTGTATACATAAGATAAGACCGGTAGACAACGAAAAAAATTCTATGACATAACATTTAGTTTTTCGTATTATGAAATGAAAAGAAGAAAAACTAATTGAGAAATTGATTTCATCGTTGGCTTAGGTCGAATTGATAATAAAATACTTTTCCTCTAGATTTCCAATTTCAATTCAATTGAATTTATATACAAATAATAATTTATTAAATAAATTAAAAATAAAAAAAAGTTAAACAAAATTTGGTGGAAGTGTTTCATATGTATAACCAAAAGGAAGTTCTGTATTCCATAATTCAATTGAATTAATTATTTCATGTGCAAAATCAAGATGAATTGAACCAAATATATCTTCAGGATTTTTATCATTATAATAGATTTGATTAATAATAGCTAATTGAAGTTGACTTTCTAAAATATATTTCATCAATAAGATTCGATTAAAAAACAAAACAAAAAACTTACTTCTAGCCCAACGTGGAATTTTTTTTGATTGTCTATGTGATAAAGCAATTTGTGTATCATCAAGTTCATCATCATGATTTACAGTCATATCATAATTACTTATTAAATCTAATGTTTGATTATTTTTAGAATTTATTTTAATTTCACGAATAATATTTGATCTAGAAAAAAAAATAAAAAAAAGAAGTTTTCAAAACGAACAACTAAAATTATTTTACCCTTTAATTCGTTTAAATTTATGATTTATTTCTTGTTTATTAATTGTAGAATGAAATGATGATTGACATTTTGTTATTGTAGAAAATTTCTTAAATAATTGACGACGTAGAAGATTTTTTATTGAAATAGATGATGAATGTTTAGTATATGTTAATATTGATGAATCAGCAGGACGAAGACACTAATATCAATATTTAATTATACAAATTTGTAAGACTAAATTAAACAATGTTTACTTACTGGATTACAAAAAGGCATTATCAATATGATAAATAGTAAAATGTTGAGCAAGAATATGTTATTAACATATTGAAATAAATTTCTTTATATAAAAAACTAAATCTCATTTAGTTAAAATAGATTAAATTGTTTCAATTTTATATTTGTTCTGAAAAATAGGATTGATCAATTAGTTGAGAAAAAAAGCCAATTAAACAATTATTTTTGTATAGATTTTTTTTTTGTTCATTCTGATCAGAAGAGACAAAAAACGAATATAAGTTCGAGTTGTTTGTGTCAAAAGAATTAAGTTGGGAAGCTTACGGTTGTTCGAATTACTTTAATTCAACGAAAGACGACTATGTCTACTTGAAAATTTAATCAAAAAAGTATAAGATTTTTCGATATCTGTGGATGAAGTATATAAATAGTTCTTAGAATTTATGCTCTTTTCTTTTTTTTTATAAATCAAAAGATTCAATTATGAGTTTTGTCTCCCAGTCGTTTGTATCAAGACAAGAATTATTTCAATGAACTTTTCATTTCATTGAAAGTTCTCTTATGAACTTGATTTAAAGGTCAACAAATAGTTTTTCTGCACTTAAATGTTCCTTGAAAAATGGTTGAGAATTGATTGACATATAATTTTCTCATTTTTTTAAGTGTTATTTTAATTAAAATGTTAAATAAACAATTGTGATAATTGAAAAAAAAAAAATAAAAACGAAAATAATCAGAATGATTTCAAAATTTATTTAAAACATAAAAGTACAACATATACTCAGAAGAAAGTCCTCAGTTTTGATATTAAGACATTCATTAATTAGTTATTCAACAAAAAATTTAATCGAAAATGTTACAAAAAAAAAAAATATAACTTGGCTATATGATGAATAAGCTAAAATCATATTGAATGATCCTGTTTGACATATCTTTGACAATATTCCATTCAATGGTATATATTTGAACATATCGAATAGTATACATACAAATCAGTCATCGTATATATATCTTCGTTTTTATTTCCACAATTTATTTAATTCAAACTTGTATGAATGTCTAACAGTATACGTCGTTAATAATTAAAATTAAAAAAAAAAAAAAAGAAGAGTTTTGATAAATGCTAAGAATTGACCTGTTTAGTCCGTCGATAGAAATTAAAGACGAAAGAGTTCATGCTGATGATAATTATATTTACATTTATATAACATTAGTTTTGGTTCATTATTGAGTACAATGAATATTCATGAGTGTACCACCAGATTGCTAAAATGACTACGAAATTTTCGTAGGAGGTTGTTTTCTTGTAAAATAATTCTATTTAATTGCACACCAAATCCTAATGCTTTATTATGCAGATTACTTAAAATGTTTATAACTTTGATTAATAATAAAATTTTGTTCATGATTTGAGAGTACGTAATGGATTGATTCACAACTATGTAGAAAATGTGGGCTGCCTCACTTTCTACTAAGCAGGTTGATATCATATATTTGAAGACATCTTTGATTTTAGGCCACTATTCATCTTTGAACAAAAAAAAACGAAAAAAATTCAAATTAAGAATTGAATATATACTACGAATAGTATGTCAAATACTTTAATTTAATAAAAATTAAATTTATATTAAAGTTTGTTTTGACAATCTTGATATCGGTAATATAATCAATACAATAAATTGATATATGTATCAGTATACAAAAATTATTTTATACATTCGATGCAGTTTTCTAATTGTGTAGTGAGAAACAAAGATGTTGGCCATATTAATATTGCTATCGAACCAAATTAAAAGTTTATTTTGAATAATGTAAGTATAAGCAAATATTCAATATGGCCTTTTTTTGCCTATGTGTCAAGTTGTGCTTGATTTCTTCAGAAGAAAAAAAAACCGAATATTTTTTTTTTGTAGATTTTTAAACAAACACATAAGATTGGAAGCTGTTACCAATAAATATTGCATTCGTTATATAATGAATTTTAACGAATGCATCTGAAAGAAAGAGAGTAAGATGAATATCTTATATTTTATATATATATATATAATTTTTGTTTTTTTTTTGTTTCGTTCTGTAAGTTCGTATTTATATAATGATTTGCTCACATCGTTTTCATTTGATTGCATAAGGTTGTTGTAAAGGAATCAGAGTAAATGTTGATATCTACGAACGAGAAAAAAAGAAACTTATATTTACCTTATGTGTGTCGGCATGTTTTAATGTAAGAAGAGAACGAGGTCTCGAGAGAAATTTCATTGCATTTTTCTTTTTACCATTTTGCATCAAACAGTTATTTGAATAAGGAACAAAAAAAACAAAAGAACTTGCTCGAATAAAACTTATAAATGGAAGTTTTCGGATTGATAATCTTTGTTCGAATTCATATTTTACTGATTGTTATAATTAAATTGTTTAGATAAAAGTTCTAAAAGAATTTTATGTCATGAATATTTTGTTTTTGAGTTATATTTAATATAGCAAATTGTGATATATTAAAAGTTTTAGTAAAAATTATTCGAATCGTTTGCAAAAAAAAACTAAAGATTTTGTAATTTAAAAAAACAACAATCGTTTTTGTAGAAAATTTCAAAATTGAAAAAAAAAAATTTTTTTCGTGGATTAAATACTGTCAAGAGATCGATTATGTTCGTGGACTATTGTCGGATATTTTTTTAAAATAATCTTCACCATTTTTTGAATAATTTTCGATCGCTTATAGATATTGAGCTCGAGTTTTCATCATTAGAAAGAGTAAGTGAGGAAATGTCTATCTATATAAAATTAATAAGTTTTTCATGAGTTTTCACAGTAATCTACGCTTAAATTATACCAAATTCTAGTACAAAACAAAATATGAAAATTTTACTAGGAATAAAGGTCGTTTTGGACTAGAATTTGGTATAATTTAAGCGTAGATTGCTGTGAAAACTCATGAAAAACTTATTAATTTTATATAAATAGATATTCCATCACTTGCTCTTTCTAATAGTGAAAATCCGAGCTCGATAGCTATAAGCGTTCGAAAGTTATTCAAAAAATGGTAGAAGCTATTTAAAAAAAAAATCTGACAGTAATTTTATACAGAGTCAGGCAGGTGTGATATTGCACTTGTTTGACCTTGTATACATTAATCGATAAAATTTGATCATTATGTTATTTTGTAGAGTATAAAAATTCCATAAGATTAATTAGTAGTTAAAAATTCTTTTGTTTTACATTTGACAAAAATATTGAGATGTTCATATTCTAATCTATTCAAAATAAAACTTAAGATAATGGCAGATTTTCTATCTTGTTCAACAATATTCTTTTATACTTAGATATAAAAATTTATTAACCTTGAAGAAAAACTATCAAATGTAGTTGTCTTGTAAGTTTTGATTAAAAAAAACAACAAAAATAGTTAATTATATTTTATTGTATGTATTCAATTGATTGATGACGAGATGTTTTTTTAGTATGTACGATTAACTATGCAAATAAAATACTTTCATATAAATGATCTATTATCATGAACAAGAATTTTAATCATTTACTAAGTTAAGATAAAATATTATCATTGATAAGTTATGTAAGTAATCAGTTACATTTATTTAAAAAATCTTCTAGTTTTCACAGTCAAAAAAAAAAGATAATTCACATACGAGTTTTAAAAAACAAATACTATAGAAAATCTAACATATAACGAAATCCTTTGACATCAATTAGTATATCAAATTCGATTAAAGTGAAAAAAACTATACAATGAACAATTCATCAATTAAAATAAGATTTAATTTATCATAGATGATAACAATTATTTTTCATTAATAAGAAAAAGAAAAAGGCATATTTTGATTTATAAATGTGTTTCAATAACATTATGAAAATCAATTCTCAATGACGCATTTAATCAATTGGCAACGATGCATATATATTACGCTTAGGGTCAAAGTCGATGATTCATGTTTATTTTAATATTAACCAATAGATAAGAAGCAGCACTATATTGTTGATATAAATTTCTTTAAAAAAAACTAAAATCATTTTATAGTAAAATATGTAAAAAAATTTTATTTTTAAATAAATTTCTTTAATATATATTCTCTTATGATTGGTTGGAGAATGAGTAAAATGTTTTAACATATCGTCAACAACAAAGTTTTTTTCTTATAATATATATTTGTTGTTGTTGTTTTTTTTTTCTTTTTCTTTTTCTTTTCATAAAGAAATCAAATAGTGATCGCATGATGTATAAAGTAAATGGATACGTGTCAAAATTATTCGTTTAGATATATAAAAAAAAGAAAAAAAAATATATATTCTTTAGAAATTAATCGAATAGTAAAATATATTTTTATTGTTGTTTGTTGTTGTCTAGATTTTATTTATCTAATGTTATTTTGTTTGGGCTATGTTGAAAAATAATTTATTTATTTCGATTAAATATGAAACGCAAACGATACGAATCAACAACAATATCAAACAAAATTTTATGTTTACAAAATGGTTCTAATGTTGAAGTACAACTTGAAGATGGAAAATGGTTTTTATTTTATTTTAATAAAGGAAAAAAAGAATTTTTATTTTTTTTTTTTGTAAAATTTTAGGCATACAGGAATAATAATTCAATGTCAATTAAAAAAATATCTTGTTCAAGTTGAACAACAACAATATTGGATTGATTTAGATCTTATTAGACCAAATACAATTATTGATCATGTAAAATATTTTTTTTTTTAAATAAGATATAAAGATGAATCGCTTTTTTTTTTTTATTTAGAAACGTAATGTACCATTTGAATATCGTCCCGGTCAATTTCTTCGTAATGAAACAAAGTCCACAAATAAAATAGTACCTGGTATATATATATTATCAAAAGAAAAAATTTCAAATATTTATAATTTTATTTTTTTTAAGATGAAAAAGTTTTATCATCTCCTCCTGATTCATCATTAATATCTGAATCTTCTAATGGTTTGTTTGATTTTTTTTTTGTTTTTGGAAATATAATCTTAATTATTTTTATTATTATAAATATAGAATTGAAAAAAAAACGTTTACCAAAAACAACAAATACAAATATTTCTGAACAAAAAAAATCACCATTTGTTTGGAAACCAAGTACAAATTCAACTATTCAAAGTATTTTAGTTTTTTATTACATAAAAAAGAAGAATAAATCTTTGATTATAATTTAAGCACGTCGATCATCAAAAAGTAATAATTCATTAACAATATTACCTGAAGAAAATATTCCTATTGATAATAATTGTCGAATACGAACATTATCAAATTCAACTCAAGAAAAAATAATAACATCGAACAGTATGTTTTTATTTTATATTGAATTTAAATATTTTTGAAATTATTCAAGGTGTTAAAATTTCAACAGAAATTCCATCATCGGAAGTTCTTATTTTTCGACCAAGTAATATTTTGAAAAAAAAAAAACAAAACATTTTTTTTCTTGTCTTAGTTATTCGGTTTGTTGATGCAACAACTAATGATGAACAATCTAATAATACAAATTCTCCAACACGTATGATCAAATATTATTAAAAAAATTTTCTTTTTTTTTTTTTTTTTTATGAAATAAAAAATCGAAATAATGATTATCAAAAAAAAAAATATATAAGTGAATTTTTTTTTTGCCTTGAGATCATCATCATCTAGAGAAATCGTTTCTATAAAAGTTTATAATATTCAAAGTCTCATGAGATTGTTTCTCTATTTGAAATAATAACAATCATCATAAATAGAGATAATCCGATTAGAATACGTTTGTAAGGATTAACCGATAAATCTAATTTTCATCATTGTATTAAATATTGCTGAATAAATAATTAAAAATAAATCAGCAATCATCACTAAAGAGTACAACTTAGCGTTTAGATACAGAAAAAGAAAAGATGAACATTCTATTCCGTAGTTTTTCTTTTTATTGTAGAGAGTAATTCATATTTTTGAATATATAAAATATTATTTTTTGTTTTAAGGTCACTCATCAATTGATGAAGAAAATTTAATTAAACAAGAAGAAGATCGTTCAACTAGTCATATAAATTCAAAACATGATGATTATAATGAAAATTTAACTAATCCTGATATAATATATCATATAAATGCATCAACTGATAGTCGTTCATCATCAACAACAAGTACAGATAATCCATATATTGTTAATCAATATGATATAATACCATCAACAATTGAACAACAAATAAAAAATGAACAAAAATCATCATGTTTTCTTGAAACACCTCCACCATCATTACCTGATATACATTTAACACAAGAATCAGAAAGTTCATTAGATAAACCACATCAACAATTTAAATCTAAACGTAAACAAAATCATCCACAAAGAAAATATCAACAAGAACAAGGTCAACAAATAAATGGTGTACTTAATCGTTTATTATTAAAACAAAAAGATAATGATGATTTAATAAAAACAACAAATGATTTATGTGATACAGGTTATTTATCTGATGAATATAGTGAACCAATAATATCAAATAATGATTTATTAACATATAATAATTTAGAAAATTTTTATCATTTTCTTGAAAAATATCATAATCAAATAAATGAACAATTAAATAATAATAATAATAATAATATATTAATTAATCAAGATGATAAAAATTTATATGAACAATTAATAAAATTTATTTATAATAATAATGATAATTATGAAAAATTAAATAAATATCGTTTAGAAAATTATAATAATAATAATCAACATTTATATTTAATATCAAATATATTAGAAAGAATATTTTCAATATTTTATAATAATAATATTATTTATAATTTATATGAATTTATTCCAAATGAAATAAAAACACATATTAAATTATGTTTAAATCATAGTTTTAATCAAAATATAAATAATAATAATAAAAAACAAATTTTAACACGTCATAAACGTTTAACTCATATTGGACATAAACATCGAAATATTAAAACAAAACGTTCATCATTTATTAATATGACAAATACAATATCAAATATTAATGAGAATTTAACAAATTATGAACAACAACAACAACAAATGTTATTATCACCTTCTAGTCCACTTACACCTATATCATCAAAAATTCATGAACAACAACAATCTATTGAAGATTTATTATCTCCTAATAATAATATTATTAATGCCGGTGTTATGGAACAAATATCTGTTCTACCTAAAGAACGTGATGTTTATGAAGTTATTCATTGTTTATGTAATTGTCAAATTGATAATGGTTTTATGATTCAAGTAAGATTTCCTTTCTTTTACTTTAAAAAATATACAAAATAAATACAATGGCTTATTTAACTTTTGTTTTTTAGTGCGAAGCATGTTTATGTTGGTCTCATTGTGAATGTGTTGGTGTGACAACAACTTGCATTCCAGCATTTTTTAAATGTAATGTTTGCACAAAAGCTGAAGGTAAAATATTTGTTATTTTGTTGTTTGAATTTAAATCCTAAAATAATTTCTTTTTCTAGCTGAACGTCCACCACAATGGTCTTTTTCATCAATGTTAGATGATGAAACAACATCATTATTTTTAAGTACATCAAATAATTCAGAAAAAATTTCTCTTTTTTTATCATATTCTCGACGTTTATGGAATTTAAGAGAACAAATTATTGAATTAAAATTACGTTATACACCAACATTAAGATCTTTACAACATGCATTAAGGTAAAATTATAATAAAAGATTACAAAAAATAAAAGAAAATTTTTATTTAAGATGTGATGATTTAATTGAATTATTTAATTGTGCCAATATAAAGTCAGATGAATTAATGGCTAAAATTAAAGAAAGAGAAAAAAATCGAAAATATTTCGAATGTATTGCTCAAACAGTTAATCATATTGTTGATAGTGTATGTTCATCTATATCAAGTAAGTTATTTTATAAAATTAAAAAATAAAAATATTTATTTATATAATTAAAGCTTCATCATGTTTATCTATTGAATTAATAACAAAATCTGAAATAAAAACAAATTTATTTAATGATCAAATGAATATATTAATATCTCATTTATCAGATGATGATGATACTCGAAAAATTCGTTTATTGATTCAAAATCGTTATGAACAATTAATGTCTACTGTTGACAATAAAATTCAAACTATTCTACTTGAACATCAAAGTAAATTTCATTTTTTTTTCTTTTCTTTTTATTAATCAAATCAATTCATAATTTACAAAATTTACTTTAAAAATTAATCACATATCTATCGAATTTTCTATTAACTATCTATATAAGTCAGGGTTGGAACCGGTCCGGCCGGTAAAGACCGGAATTTCACCGGTTGAAATTTTTCAAAAATCTTCTTTGTTAATCCTGTCTTTGACCATAAAAACTAAGGTATCACATGTTTTTTCTGTCAGAATAGGTAAAAAAAGTGCTCAAAACATATGTTATATTAATCGTTTTTCCTGAGGTTTTCTTTAAAAAGATTCATTATGATGAGCGTCTTTTACATGCGCCTTAAACTATTTCATATTTGGAGCGATTTTTTCTAAAAATCGGTTTTCAAAAAAAAAATTCGACATTTTTCCACCGGTTTTCACCGGTTGGACATGTGATTCCAACCGGCCGTACCGGACCGTTTTAATATTTCTCAACCGGTTCCACCCCTGATATAAGTACAAAATAGTAGAACTCAAAATTTTATTCCATTGAGTTTACAATTACTACAAAAGGATAGATTTTAATAAAAAAAAAAAACATTGATTATAATTTTTTTTTGTATTATTATTTAGCTATTCAAACACAAATGGCATTTGAACTTGGTATAATGCCAAATAATCAATCAGATGATTATTTATCTTATGATACAAATGAATTAGCATTAAGAACAGCTATTGAACGATTAAAATGTTGAACATTTGTTTTTATTTTGTTCCACTGCAGGGCGGCGGATACAAATAGTAATTTGTGTTTGTCTGCATATACATATACATATATATATATATATTATGGTTTTTGTAAATATTATATTTCACATCTAGGATTATTTTTTGTTTGTAGTGTGAGTGTTTTTTTTTCTTTCTTTCTCTCTATCTCGTTTTTTTTTTCTTGTTCTTATATTGTGCTCGGTGTCGTTCAACGTTTTGTTTGTTTTTTTCTTCTTCTTTCCAACTCTTGTTTTATTATCATACACATGCGTTTGTTTGTTTTTTTTTTGTTTTCTTCTTTTTGATGTTCAAATAGAGAAAAAAAAATATGTGTGTTGGTACTTTTTTTTTTTGTTTTTTTCTTTTTGTGTTTATTATTATTATTATCATCATCGTTCTCACCTATATAAAATCATCATCATCATCCCAGCCAGTCTATCGTCTGTTTGTGTGGATGTGTATTAATACAAATAAGACAAAAAACAAAAAAAGATTTTTTTTTTTTAGATATTATAATAACAAAAAAGAAAGAAATGTTTGCGAATGATAGTATTAATACTGAAAGAGAAAAAGCAAATTTATTATGTTTAATAAAGTAAGTTAGAAATTTAAGAAAAAAAGTAAAAAATATGTTAATATAGATTAACATTAAATACATTAATTGATCAATCATCATCATCAACAGCTTTACCTGTACTTGATGATCGAAATAATGATGTTACAAATTTTATTTTAACACTTGAACGTGTTCTAAATTTTCGTATGAGAGGTAAACAAAAATAAACAAAAAGAAAAACATAAGAAGAAAAATTTTATTATTTTAATAGCAAATTGGCTATCAGAACGTCGATATTTTTGGGATTTTATTCGACCAGCATGTATTGGTTCAGCACGACAACCTAGTAAATAATAAAAAAATTAAATCATATTTTATGTTTATTTATTTAGTTATTGAACGTGTCGAAGAAGTATCAAAAACAAGGAATATTAAATATAAAGTAAATTTCATTAGTATTTTATATAAAAAAAATAGTTCATAAAAATATTGGTTAAATAAGTACAAGTAAAAAACAAAACATTTTTTATTTCATAATTGTACTTTGGACTTCTACTCATGGTTTTTGTAAAAACACGATCTGAAAGGATTGTTGAAGTATATAGGACAAAAATTTTGGATTTCTGTCCCCCCCCTTCATAGACCGTGACAGATATCTTAATTAACTAATTAATCGTCACAGCGCCTGATACCCACGTTCAAGAGAGCATCAGATGTAATATATAACTAATTGAAATATTTTCTCTATGAAGTTCTGCACTGTAAATCTGTGATATTCTTTTATTATATTTATTAAAATCATTGTAAAGAAAACAATCTTTATAGGAATATGTCAAGAGTAGTAAAATTTCTATAAGAATTGCTTTACTTAGAAGCTTTGACAAAAAAAAAATGACATTTTGATATTGATTAATTTTAGGGTCGAATATGGATTAAATTTGCATTAATGGAAAAAAAACTTTCTGAACTATTAAAACTTGTTCTATCCGATTGTCAACTTGTTCGGTATGAGAAATCAAAATATTATTAAATTTTCAAGACAAAAAAAAGGAAATTCTTCTAGAAAATTCTATCATGAAGATTCAATCATGACAGCATCACAAGCTTTTATTTTATGTGATCAATTAGCTGGTTTAAGTGCTATTGATTTTAGGTATTTAAAATTTGGTTTTTTTTTGTTGTTGAATATTTTGAAAAAAATCTATTTTTAGTTTTTGTTTTAAACAAGATGGTTCAATTATTTCTCCTTTATTATTCAATGGTTCCGATATTGATGTTATTGATTTAACACCATATTTATATTATAATTCAAAAAAGTAAAAAAAAAATTATTTTTAATTTTCTATATTTTGTATTAAATTAATATTAGTGTTAATAATATGAAACAATTACTTAAAGATCAAAATAATGATGAAGAAAATAAACAACCAATACCAACATTAGCAGCTGTTAATGAACTTCAACCATTACATATATCTGAACGTGAAATGGTTTCATTAGATAAACATAAACTTGAAGTTGAACAACGTGTAAGAATTAGTTTTTTTTTAGATATACTCCTTTATTATTGACTTCTATTAGACGATTATGAGTATTTCGAGATTCGGATTCTAAAGACATGAGTACATAAACATTCTCTCTTTTTGTAAAGTTCTAATCGAACTGTTGAATTTTCTTCTGTAAGCTCTCGGTTTTTTGATAAACTTTCAAATCAAGATTCTATTGAAAAACTCTTGTCATACAATCGAGAATTCAATATTTCGATCAAAACTATAGCGGAAAAATTTAATTTTTATCTTTGATTACTTGTCTTTTGAACGATTCTGTGGATATATTAAATTTTATTTTGTTTAGAAATACTACGAAGAACTTTTACGACATCGTGATCGTGAATTACAAGAATTAAAAATTCGTTTTGAAACATTAAAAAGTGAACGTGAAAATGAAGTTGTTTTAATGGAAAATATAATACTTGAATTGCAACTTGAATTGTTCGTATAAAATTTAAATATTAATTTCAAAAATTTAATTTATTTTATATTAAATTAGACAAACAGCTCGAGGTGAAGCAGAACTTAAACGTAAAAAGTCTCAACAATCGGGACCAATAACACCACCAAAAAGTCTTTTTAATTTTTCAAATCGAAAAACTAATTCACCAACAACACCAACTAATAATCAAAATCAAGATGATGATGCGTATGTTAATAATATTATTTTTTTTTTAAATTCAATCAAACGTTTATCTTAATAGAATTTATATTACTATTTTCTAAGACTCAAATTACAATAATCACAAAATCCATGAGGGACAACCTGATCTTCGGAAAAGTATCACCTTCGTAGAGCCCTCAAATTGGTTTTTATAGGAAAATGAATTCTTATTTTCATAAACAACAAATATAAACGTCTAGAGAATTATATAACTCTCCAAGACACGGATCCTAGAAATCATTAGAGTCATGCAAGATGTCTTATACACTGATGTTCAAGAGCAGTGTAAATTAAAGATATATTAGATCCTATTGGATGCAAAATTTTCGACTGATGTAAAAATCAAATTTTTCGATTCAAAAACTTTCTATTCATGTAGATTCAATTCGGACTTCATTGTAGTCCGATACATGACTTTATAATAATAATATTTGAAAATAATTTTTGTTTAGACAAATGCGTCCAATTGATGCTACGCTTATAACAGATAGAAATGAAGTAAATTTTTATTTTAAATTATGATTTTTATATTTAAAATTTAATTATTTTAGTCATCAAATTTAATTGTGGAAAATATGAATCAAACAAAAAATTCTACTGATATCGTTAGTCAATCATCACGTCGTTCAAGTCAATCAACAACAACTAATACAGATGATGATCAATATGAAGTTGTTAATCAATTAGCATCAAATAATAATCAAACATCAACTGAAATAAAAGCAACATCAAGTCCTGAAATGGTTTCATCAGCAACATCACTTTCAACTCCACCATCATTGTCATCAACATCATCATCACCATCTTCAAGTGATGAAGAAGAACCTCCTCAAGAACAAACAGTATTAAATGTTGAAAATTCAAATCCACCTATAATTCAAGAATCAGGTCGATTTGAAACTGTTGAAATAACAGCTGAACAAGCAACTTTATTAGAAGAAGCCAGTACAACTGCTTGATTTTCTATCTATTCCAATAATTGCCTGCATATGTATGTACATTGCCATAGTTTTCCTTTTTTTTATTTCTTCATCTATAAATATGTAATTTTCAATAATTTCTTTTGCTTTTTTTTTTGCTATGGTCTGATGTTAAATGAGCAATGAATGAAAGAGTGGAAATTTCCTTTTCTTTTTTGTAATTTAAAAAAATATCCGTGTCAATTTTGTGATATAATCATGTTGTTTTCGTTTTTTTTTGCTTCTTATTTCTCAATATATTTGTGATTATAATTTTATTTCAAAAGAGTGAAAATCGCTCACTAAAAAGAAAAACATTTGAATCAAGGTAAAAAAATTTTCTTATCTTATGAATTTAACTTCAAAACAAAGTTTATTTCTTATCAGAAGTGATATAAATAAGTTTGCTATTGCTTTGTAATAATCATAAGAAGAAAACGAAAAAGTTGTTATAGTCATCATGTCGACATCATTTAATATAATTGATGCTGCTAATCGTCGTTTTGAAGAACTTTTTAATGCTGGTAAACTTGATGAATTAGTTGGTCTTTATACATTAGAAGGAAAACTTTTACCACCTGATAAAAATAAATATGAAGGACGTGAACAAATTAAAAAATTTTGGCAAACTGCACAAGATGCTGGTATTAATAATTTACATTTAACAACAGGAACTGTTTTAGAAGCAGGAAATGATCGATTAATTGAAACAAGTTCATATCAACATTCATTAGATAAAGGAAATTATCAAGTTATATGGAAACGTACTACTGGTGAAGGAAAAAATGAATGGCAATTAGATATTGATATTTTTAATTGAATTTAGTTTTTATTTTTATTTTCAAATAAATTTTTCCTTTTCAGAACAGTGAATAAGATTCTTAACATGTCGACTCATTTCATATTAAAACTAATTTCAATGAAATATGACATATTTGACAATCAAAGTGTGAACGTATGAACAAACATACGATATGTGTGAATTAAAAAAATTGTTTTCAATAAGAATTTGAAGGAATTAAAATCTTGACAGTAATCTCAAAACTTAGGATCTCTGACGAACCTGAAGCCTTGGTTTTCAGCGCACGAAATCTGGAAAAATGTTTCGTTTGATTATATAGAGTAATAGATTCTCTAAACAAATAAGATATTTTCGAACTTGGCAAGACATTTTTTTGAATGAACTACATTTATATTAAGAAACATACAAAGACTGTTGTTCTTCCATTTCCGAAAGGAAAATTGGACGACGAGGACT